ACCCTCATTCTAGATGTAAAGTAAGTAAGGTCTAGATGGTTGAGCAAGATAGGTTGTCTACTTGTCTTTGCTCTGTCCTTGAGTCATGTCCTAAGGAGTTTGAGAAGTAGCAATGTATGCAAATATGTTATTCTTCGTTTGGAAGTTGGGATTATGAAAATTGATGTATTTAATGAATTGTGTATTGTAATTTTATGCATTGTGTCAATGTATGAATTTGTTTGTAAAAAAAAGTGTCCGTGTATTAATTTCAAAAATACATTGTTGGGATGTTGAATAATTTTGGTGGTCTCTCACAAAATTAGGAAGAAAAAAAATGAGTGATGGACAATCTAAGCTAAAAGTTGAGATTGATAATCATCCATAATGAATGATTCAAGTGAGCTCATCTTCTACTTAAATACATGTATGATGTTTCATTTTAAGACAACAAAAATTGAATTCTCATGATTACATATAATGTATGAATTACAAGTATTCTAGTGGTCCATCTTCAACTCAAATACATGAAATCGTTCATAATGAATCATTCTGGTGGTTACATCTTCAGCTCAAATACAAATATTCTGTATTCTGATTCCATATAAGACAAAAAATGATGAATTCTTCGAATTACATACATTGCCTAAATGCATCATCTGAAAATCCTAACTTCCAAAGAACTCCTGAGACCACTAATAATAAAGCATTAGAGTCGTATCAAAAGTCTAATACATATATTGTGTGTCAAAAATAAAAATCGAACAATTACTAATTCTTTCCATTACATGTATTATCTAAATACATTTATAATCTCAACCTCCAAACGACTCATACATCTTCAGTTAAAGCATAAGATTCTTTTGATTGTGTCTTTTCTTATAAAAATATGTTATTTTATTTACTTTACAGAAAGATAAAATCATAACATCCACATAATGTATTTTTCAAAAAGTATATTTACCTAAGAATATATTAATTCAATGAATGCATCAATTTAATTTAGAGGATCTCAACATGACCAATACTTTTTTTTTATTCAACATGACCAATACTCACGTTACTTTTTCCTTTAATTTTAGTATTTTACACAATTTTTGTATAAAAAGGCACTGAACCAAATAACTGTTTTTTACATGGATTATAAACAAGGTTTAATACACTTGTATATCCAAAAGTATCACGTTTGTGCCAATAATATCCAAAAATCCGGAAATACCACTTATATCCATGTTTTAAAGTTGTTCTTTGCCAAATCTATCCACTTCCGTTAAATGCTTTGACGGCGTTAATAACTCCGTCAACATAGCTGACGGCAAGCTAATTGTACGCCAACTGTGCAGACACGTAAGCGCCAACTACGCCAAAAGTGCCACGTAAGAATGAATTAAAAAATAATAATTATTTTAAAAAAACCTAATCCCACATATTCCCACTGACGAACAACGAGGACGTTTAGTCCCCCTTTATCCTTTCATTTTTAGGGTTCGCACCCTGGCGGCGACAAAATCTCCTCCTGCTGATTGAGCCGCCGACTGAGCCTCCTCCAGGCGATTTAAGATCATCCCGCCGACTGTATATACTCTCTGGGATTGAAGATCCTCCCGCCGAGTGAAGATTTCGGATTCGTGGTTTCTGGCGATCTGGCGACTCCTGCGATTCTGGCGGATTTGGCGATTGGCGACCCAGATTCATGATAAAAGCGATTTGCAGACCCAGCTTTCCATTTTTCGTAGGTGATTAACTTATTTGTTGAATCTCGTCTCTGCATTTGAATTCAGTCGACGTCTCGCCATGTCGAAGAGATGTTCTTCTTCAACTTCGACACAAGGTCATGGGGTGGTAGTTAACAAACACAACGTGGCCTGTCCAAGTCCTTTCTCAAGTGGGAGATCGCAGAGACGGCATGGCAGCAAGGAATGCCACTCAACGACCAATAACCACAAGTGCAAGATCTAGTAGTTAGGTCGACGATGTAACCTACAACACCTATCTTGACCTTACACTTATCATACAAAGTTTGTCTTGCAGTGCATAACCTTGCCAACTCATTTTCCTTCTCTATCCTTTTTCTAATTCTAGGGCATAACAGATCGGTACAATTCAACATCACTTCATACTTCACAACAACCCTATCCATAACATACCCTCTAATTTCCTCTAACATGTCAATGATTCGCATTCCCCTATACTTGACAATCACTCCATTCCAAGTTTCGCAAATATTAGATTCAACCGAGTCACACGTTGGTAAGGTAGACAAGAATGCACGGCAAAATGACCTAGGTTCTGCATTCATGAAATCAGTGAAGGGGGTTGTACCATGTTCCTCACCTTCAATGCCTTCCATTTCGGTTGTGGCATTCTTCCAATCAACCTCATTGCAAGAGTACACTGCTTTCCAGAAAAGCTTTCTGACCCTATCTGTCTTGTTCTTGACTTTCCAGTTAGCATACACGTGCCTTGCGCACTTACGATGCTCGGCCTCGGGTAGCAAATCATGTAATGCCTCCACTAACCCCTGCAAAGTAAACAACAGTGTTAGAAATTATGCATGTGGAATTTAATGGAATTTAAAAGGGAATTGGGTCCTACCTTTTGCTGGTCCGATATGACAGACCAACCCCTACCATCCCCGAGCTCCAAATCTTGAGCTAAGGTGTTCACAAACCACAACCATGAGTTTGTGTTTTCTCCCTCTACAACTGCCCAAGCAATTGGGTACATTTGGTTGTTGCTATCCTTACCAACTGCCGTCAGAAGTATGCCTTTAATTTCCCCCTTCAGAAAACATCCGTCCAATCCGAACATCGGACGACACACTTCAAGAAACCCATCCCTTAATGCAGAGAATCCTATGTAAATTCTTTGAAAGTACACCTTGTCTTCTGAAGGGTGCGGCTCAACTCCAAGAATGAAGTTCCCTCTAGGATCTCTCTTTTTCAACTCTCCCAAGTAAGACCTCACCATGTGATAATCTTCCACAAGTGAACCACTCAACATTTTGATAGCACTTATTTTGGCTCTATAGCAGGTTCTTCTAGCCACTTCTATATTATGCTTCAATTTTACCTCTGCCATGATTTGAGTTGGAGCCCACTCGGGATTAATTCTGAATCTCTCGAGCATATCCTGTGCAATCCAGTGGGCAGTCACTTGGTTGACCCGCAGTTGTCTTGCACAAGAATGTGGCAGCCTGATTTTCCTCACCATGAAGATCTGATTCCGCCTGAACCAGCTAGCATATACCCTCCATTTACAGTTCTTGTCCTTGCATTTGACCTCTCTTCTGGATTTCTCAACCCTAACCCATCTCAAACAGGCCCCATGTGCTACAGAGTGGCGAATCACAGCTGCCTTAAATTCCTCAGGACTTACAAACTTCATCTGCGGCACGAACTGTAGAACCTTGTGGTTACAATGTGGATCATATTGCGGTGCATCGTCGAAGATGCCCCACCTTCCGAATAAGAAAGATTGGCTCTTACATGGTTGGAATCCTCAGAGAGCCTGTAACTCGAATGGTTCGAGTCTGCTCGCCTAGATTCTTGCATTGGAGGTACCTCGACCGGTTCATTCACATCTTCATTCACACCATTACCTTCATTAACTTCTTCATTCACACCATTACCTTCATTCACATTTTCATTCACACCATTATCCCCATTCCTGACCATTATCCCTAGCCAATCCATCCTCCTCTTCAGAGTCATCACTAGAGGATTCATCCTCCTCCAAAACATCTACCTGTTCAACCTCCTCTCCATGGCCATCAATACGTGCCTTCACCTTCATTCTCCTACTCTCCCCATAGGCTCTAAGATTTGCCATTGCTTCATGGTACTCGTCATCAGAAGTGTCTGCATCTTCTGAATCATAAACATGGTATATTTCTCGAGCAACAGATGCCTCGACACCATCATGTGCAGCCAAGGAAGCAACTGGACTCTCTTGAACATCATCTGGATCATTCTCTCCAAAAGCCTCATCCCATGAATCAGCCATCTGTAACAGCCTTAATCAGTTTTTTAATCGCCATTATCCCCATTAACAATTCTTTAATCATTAACTAACAAACAACTCGAAAAAAGCAACGATTGACATTATTCAATTCTAGGGTTTTTGCAACCAAAGGTAATGACAATTCTATCCAGAAGATTCAGTTACTCACCGTCAGATTCAGAGGCAAAATCGGTGTGGAATCCAGTCGAGTGGTCCCCTTGTTCTTCTATCTTTACTCCTCGCTACCAACCAAAAAAGCAAGAGAAAAACACTACTATAAGAACTTTCCAACCACAATCAACACCCACAACTACCAATTCAAAAGGGAGACTCACCTGTGGCTACAGGCGAGGTTGCTCAGAAATCCCCCTTTTCGGTGCTATTAGGGTTTCTTCGACTTCTCACCTCGCCTTTCCAGGGTTCGTCGCGATTAGGGTTTCCACCGGAAAGGAAGGATGGGAAGAGCCAGTCTAAGCTCGTCGCAAGTTGTTTAAGCCACTGAAATCGGTGTTGGTCTTCGTCGAGGAAGGTGGGCGAGAAGGGTGATCGTCTGATCGACGAAGGATGAAGGATAATAAGGGGATATGACGGATTCGGGGGGTCGCTGCCTTCGTCCTTCTCCGTCGCCTTCGTCCTTCTCCGTCGCAGTCGTCAAAATCCGTCTCCTTCGTCGCCCACAGCAGGCGAAGGGTTAGGGGTTCGTCGATGGAAAAAAATGAGAAGGGTAGAAAGTTAGGTCAAGTCGAGGGTGAGATCAGATGGAGGCAATTGAATTTTTTAAATAATATTAATTAGCTATACACGTGGATAAGTAAAGAGGAATTGGGAAATAACCGTTCGCCACGTAAGCACCACCGTTTGTCCAGTTAGACTTAACGTTAACACCGTCAAAGAATGTGACGGAGTTGGATATAAGTGGTATTTCCGGATTTTTGGATATTATTGGCACAAACGTAATACTTTTGGATATACAAGTGTATTAAACCTATAAACAAATAACATGGACATTCTCTGTCATCTATGATCTATGTATCTGAGCAATACGCCGTCGTATAATCACCATTTTTTACCAATGCGATGCAGCCAGACGCCCAGAAGGCCAGAACCAAACAAAGCCATCTTTCTCCAAAAATTCAAAACTCAAATTGGAGGGAGAAAGACAAAGCAAAATCCTGCAGGAAAAGAAAATAAAAAGGGACAGTCACAGGCTCACAGCTTTCCTTGCCTCTCTCTAGAGTCTAGTCTAGTCTCCTTTTCTTCTTCTTCTCCATCTTGTTATCCTGTGGCCTACCTGCAGTTCAACAATCGACTTTGCTTTCTGCTAATTCGCTGAAAATGGGGGAAGTCCTGAGCCCTAATCCGGCGCAGAAGCAGCGGCTTCCCCGAATTCAGTCCCCAACTAGCCCGTTCTTCCTTGGACCCAACAACGACCAGCTCGAGCGAGCCCAGGCTCGCGCTAAGCGCGCCGCCGCTGTCCGCCGGATGTCCGTCGCCCTCAACGCTACTCAGTCTCTTCCCTCCGACGATTCCTCCGACCCCTCCTCTCCCTGCCTCGACAAGCAGCAGATCCTCGATCTCTTCCAGAACTGCATCAAACTCGCCAGCGAAAATGTCAGATCTGCACCCGCTCCCTTGATCTTCTTTCAATTTGTTTGAATTTGGTGGCTTCCAATTTGGAATGGGATTTGTTCATTTTGGGGTTTCTGTGGCGTTTGCAGAAAATCAATCAGAAGAATACATGGGATTTGACCTTGATAGACCACTTGTACGACATTATAAAGGTGGAAGAAGATTCGGAGACCAATTTTCAGAAGGTTATTTTACCCCCTTTACCTTCTTTTTTTGCTGGTGGTTTTAGTTTTTTGCTGGGAGTTAGCTAGCTTGAACAAACTGGATCTGGGTTTTTCTGCTAGCTTTCAGTTAGGAGGGTGTTAGAATCGCATTTTAATTCCCATTCTTTTGTTCAGGCCAGTTGCACCCTCGAAGCTGGAGTGAAAATATACTCGATGAGAGTGGATTCAGTGCATTCCGAGGCATACAAGGTCCTTGGCGGGATTCATCGAGTGGGTCAAGAAAATGAACAAGGTTAGGGTCAATCGCCCAACTGAACTTGGCGAACTGCTAAATTGTAAATTGACATTCGCTTATTTCCATCTCTATACAAATGCGGGGAGGATTTATTTATGTGGAGAATGCATTTCAAGTGATATTGCTGCACAAACATTAAGTTGGAACTATCTGTTGAGTTGTGGTTGATGCCCTTTTAAGCTTGTTGGTCTATCTATTGTCACTTTCATGACAGATTCTGTTTCTGGAGATGCCAGTGCCAATGTTGGACAAGAGACTGGTCACAGGAAGAAGGAGACGGAGAAAAAGGTTTACAGAAAATCATGTGTCACTTCTTTCTGCTAATTATTTACTGAAAGTCATATGGTGACAGACTGCTGTGCTTGTAGATATCGCCCTTGTCAACCCTGGAATCATCTTTTGAGGCACTTAACGTGAAGAAGTTTGATGGTGATCTTATCTTTGATAGTGTCATTTGTTGGTGGCAGAAGTTGCATTCAGTTAATTAATGAAATTTATTTTTTCTGTTTCAGCTGCATTTGCTGTTGATCCCCTCTATCATCAGACATCTGCGCAATTTGATGAAGGTGGAGCGAAGGGTCTGTTACTGAATAACCTTGGAGTATATGGTGGATGTCGGGTGCTCTTCGATTCACAGGAAGTACCAGGAAAATGTGTGTCGTCTGAGAACCAGTGTGGCAGGGTCGAGTTGATTGACCTCTCTTTTGCTAAAGGTATGATATGTTTGAAATCTGTTGCTCTATACCATGCAATGCCATTTTGAAAATGATTTGATAGAGTTTCCTCATGCATGGGCTTCTTGGTTCCTTACAGATTGCATTGACCAAATGCTCCTACACATGCAAAAAACGAATGAAATTTCACCAACTCTCAGTGAAATTATTAGTCGATTTGATGAACATAACAAAAGGCCAGTAGATACATTTTCTTCCCACCTGAGACCAGGCAGCCAAATGGATGTAGATGACGATTTTAGCCAAGAAACTGAAGCTGAGCCAGGTGGTGATGCATTTGAAAATCAAGAGACTTGGACTTATGATCATGACGATCACCAAAGTGTTGTTGATGATGATATGGATAATCCAGATGCCAGTATTCCTAGTTATCATCAGGTGCCAGAATCTATATGCTATCCTTAGAGCGCCTTTCTCAGTGTGTTGATGATTATCATTACTATTCTAATGTATGAATGAACCTCCCACTTAATATTTGACAATCTTTTGCAGGAAAATGACGCATTTTCTTTTGAAAACTTTGATATGGATGGCAGGGCAGATACAATTGATACGTATTTGTTGCACAGTTTGGGTTTCACATCCAAACACAATGCTTGGGCAGGTCCTGATCATTGGAAGTACCAAAAATCAAAAGGTAAAGCTTGAGGCATTCCCTGAGCAGTTTACGCTAGTCCTTTGTCTCCCAGAACTGTAATGTAGAACTTTACCGCAGGGATGGAGGATAATCCCAATGGAGAAGAAGGGCCACAAGTAACAACCAAGAAACCAAAGACCAAGAAGCAAGCAGAACCTGACATTGATTTCACAAAATCCTTGGACGAAGAACTGCTGGATGTCTTTGCTCCTCCAAAGAATCCCAAGTTACTGCTGCTACCAGCAAACCGGGCAGCCTCCAACACAAAGTTGCCCGAGGACTGCCACTATCAACCGGAGGATCTTGTTAAATTGTTTCTTTTACCCAATGTCATGGTAATGAAAGTTGCTTACGAAGAAAATACTTCTGTGCAACGTTTTTTATTTTATTTCTGGTGCTGCTGTTAATGGAAGAATTATGTTCTCTTTTAGTGTATTCGGAGGAGAGGAAGAAGTTCCAGAGGTGAAGTTCTTATCATCTCTTGAAAAATCCTGTCTTTTCTGTCACTTTCTGAAATGTGTGTGTGTGTTTTTTTTCTTCCAGAAGAACCAGAGCAGCAATCTGATGACTATGAAGCACAGCCTTCATGGGATGATGATGGTGGTGAATTTGGTGGCCAGTTTGAAGATATGGATGCACACAGTGATATAGAGAACCCTAATACACTAGTTTCTCAACCTCGGCAGGTTGGTTCAGACGCAAATTTGAGCTACTATGCTTTTTTGCCTCCTTATTAAATCATGGATGGCGAATTTCCGGATGACATGACAAGTAGATGATATAGCACCACAATTGTGATGGGTTAATAATACTTTGGTTTTTTCAACCAACCCAGGTTGCTAAAATTGAAGTAAACTACGATAAGAGGTCAAAGCAAGTTGATGTCCAACGACTGAAGGAAACACTTTGGCATCATATGCAAGAATCTTCCCAATCATCTCTACAGGTAGCGCTACTAACCTGCTTACTATATGCACTTACCTTAGAAGAACCCATCCATGGGGATTTATTAGTGACTAGAACATTTGCCTCAAATTAGTTTATCATCATCTCTCGGCCATCCACTTCTCAAGTGAGTTAACTAGATGCATGGACATGGAATTTTTCTTACTTATCGATATAAAACATTGTGTGTACATGAGGAGGTCCAAGAAGAGCCAGCGTCGTTCAAGGACCTATTGGCAAGCTTTCCAAATGACTGCAATGCTGCTGCAACCATCAACGATATATCGCCTCATCTATGTTTTATATGCTTATTGCATTTGGCCAACGAGCATGGTTTGAGCATCCATGGCACCACCTCCTTAGATGATCTCAGCATCCATCTCCCCCAACAGAAATAGAGTAGAGAGTTCCAGAGACCAACAGTGATCTTGTTTGTACTTATAAGAAATTCGTGTATGAAAGTTTGGTTTTGGGAAAATGTTTGTCTGGTTGTATTGTAGTGCTTGCCAATCATAGTTTTGCAAATTGCTGGTGTAATATAAGACAGAGGGTCGACGAAAGATGTAGGGTGACATATACGTCATTTGCTCTTTGTGTTAGCTTTATGGCAAGCTTTGTTTATGCGGCACATACTGTTGTTGCTTTCTGTTTGTTTCTTCCCTAATGTCATTTGTAATTTCAAAATTCTCTAGAACAACTTTTTTTGTGGAAGAAAAAGGAAAGATGATGTTTTACTTGTGTGAAGTGTGAACTAAGGACAAATTACATGAGAAAATTGTTTACATTATGTGAGAAAATGGTCTTACTAGCATAAGTAGTAAAGGACAAATTATATATAAAAAAACCTAAATTACACTATTGGTCACTCAAATTACATGAATCTTTCACATTTGTCACCTAAATTATTTTTCTTTCTTATTGTCCACTAACTTTATGAATCATTTCACCGTTACTCACATGCCGTTAGTCTCTGTCACACTCCGTTAACTCTGTCAATTTTTTGATGTCGTGACAAACAAAACAGGTGATTAGACCGTTAAGTTAATTACATGTCAATTAAAAAATAAAAAACATAATTTACCCCACCTTCTCACCGTCGGAGCTTGCACCCACGTCCTCTCAGCTTCACCGTTGTCGCCATCTGAATAAGGCGAGAATGACCTCAGGGGAGAGCGACGACGACTAGATCTATTGCCTTCCCTCCCATTTCCTTCTCTATACATAGCAATAGATGTTCCCCTGAAATACTATCTGCCCGCCCTACCGGAATTAATTAATTGCCTTGTCAGCTAGCTTGGCGTCGTTGAGCCGGCGGGAGAGGAGGGAGTGGATAGAACGGAACCGACGGATGGAAGAGTCGACGGAATTAGCGCGCTGGCGGGGTGGCTGTTATTCGTGATTCGTGAAGTTCTTAGAGATGTGAGAGTTAGCCGATTCCTGCAACTGCCTCGCCTCTTTATACCTCTTCTTCCACCTGGCTAGCGGACACCTCCTCCGTTGAATTGTCGCCGTCGATTTTGACTCTGGCTGGCGTCTTCTGTTTCTTAATTTTTCATCTCCTCCATCTCCCTTTCTCCGGTGAAAGGGTAGCGCATCAGATCTGAATCGATCAGCGACACAGATAACTCAAACGGAGTATTGGAATTCACAGAGCCTTGCGAAAGCTGAGGCAGGAGAAGGAGGCTCTCATCTTTGTCATCCACATTTTCACTGCTCACTAATGTCAAATCCTCCACGTCACTAAGATCACTGTTGTACGGATGATGGTATTCTCGTAGGGATCACCATTGCCACCATGCCGTGAAAATGCTAAGATGCTAGCGCTTCCTTCATCTCATACTATCTCTTAACAGTGGGGAAGGTAGGCACATTTAAGATGGTTGGTCTCTCTCTATCTCTAAATACACTTTCTCTCTCTATAATACTTGTCCAACTTGATCGTTGGAGGTCTAAAGGGCCTAATGAGCCCTTTGGTGAGTTGAGTTGTGAAGGCGCTTGGGCTTGGAACCTACAAATGGAGGTGCATTGGAGGAAAAATAGTACCGTGGCATCAACAAAGGGGATTCAATTTACTCTAATAATGTTCTTAAGAACCTTAAAACTTTTTCCTAATGAAAATTAACTCACTCGAGATCGTTCGTGACGACACCTGAAATATTCTATTTTTGTATCTCATTTATGGCAAGTTTTACATTATTTTGAAATGAGCAATTTTTACTTGCATTTGCTTCGAGTGTGTTTAACCAATTATTTGATATCCTTTAAATTTCAAAGTGCTTAACCGTCCATTTGATAGAAAGAGCGTTCAAATATCAACAATGGTTTTATGTTCCTAAATCGATGTTTCTAGTTATTTCTATCCCCATGAGTGGTTAGTTTGATAGTTGTTCAGGTTTCTAGAACCTATAGGTTCCTAAGATTGTTTATGACACTTTGATATTTATATGTCACGTTGAGTTATTTGTCTAACCTATTTCATTTAGAGCCCTTCTAGTGTGCTCTATAGCACCCATGCTATAAAAAACAAATAAAAAAGGTGACCTGTTGAGGAGGTAAACCCACTAAATGACTGGTCCCACATCATTAATGGCAATCTTGTAAATAATAAATCAATGTATACAAGTGTAGTTGTACCATATCATATAGGTACCATTGAAGAATTTGAGTTGTACCATTAGTATAGGTACAATTTTGAGTTGTACCATAAGGGATTTTTAGAAAGTGTAGGTACAACTTAAAGTTGTACCATGGTATAGGTACAAGTTTGGGTTGCACCATAGAAGGATTTTTAGAAAGTGTAGGTACAACTTTAAGTTGTACCATGGTATAGGTACAAGTTTGGGTTGTACCATAGAAGGATTTGGAGAAAGTGTAGGTACAACTAAACATTGTACCATTAGTATAGGTACAATTTTGAGTTGTACCATAAAGGGATTTATTAGAAAGTGTAAGTACAACTTAAAGTTGTACCATGGTATAGGTACAAGTTTGGGTTGTACTATAGAAGGATTTTTAGAAAGTGTAGGTACAAATTAAAGTTGTACCATGGTATAGGTACAAGTTTGGGTTGTACCATAAAAGAATTTTGAGAAAGTGTAGGTACAACTTAAGGTTGTACCATTAGTATAGGTACAATTTTTAGTTGTACCATAAAGGGATTTGTTAGAAAGTGTAGGTACAACATTAATGTTGTACCATAGTGTATAGGTACAATTGTGAATTGTACCATAGAAGATTTTTAGGAAAGTGTAGGTACAACTTTAAGTTTAGTGTAAAGGTACAACTCTAGAAAGTGTAGGTACATCTTAATTCCACGGCTGTTATTTTGACAGAATGAGCTGTGAGAACGTTTGAGTGGCAGCTGTGTGTTTCAATTGAATGTGAGATTTTGACGGGCGTGACAATGTCAAGTAGTAGCCGTGAAATTTCATGGGATAGTGAGAACTGCTCTTTGCATCTCACGGGACATCTCACGGCCGTGATATTTGCTTGAGGAATGAAGCACTGCTTTTTACATCTCACTTGAGTATTTTACGGTCGTGAGATTACCAGTATAAGGTGTCAGATTTCCAGTAGGAGACTTTCACCTGTTGAACTATCCCGTGTACTTATTATAATGGTGTTTCAAACAGAATGGACTTTTTTCCATAACTTCAAACTTATGAAAAAGATGATTCATAATGTTCTCTAAACCTTGACACGAGCATTACATAGATCCATTCACAATGTTCTCTAGTAACTGTACATCATATCAGATGAGATACCCTGTTAACAAAAAGTAAAAAGCAGTCAAAGCATTACATTTGTCTAATAAAACAAGCATCCATAACACGATTAAATCTGTCTAATTAATGCTTAAAAGTTCATTATAAGCATGCCTCTTCGTCTTCATTATAGAACAATTTCAGCAAACTGCAAAATTAAAACAACAAAAAAATTATAAGCATGCCTTGAAACACGAATTATAAGCATGCCGAAGAGTACTAACAAAATACACAAAGCCAGAGTCGTCCACCACTGATCTAAAGAAGCAACTTTCAGTTTTCACACTTAAACACATTCGAGAAAACGTGGTTATGACAAAGTTTCATTTGAGAAAAGGATCATTTAATCATTCGGTAAACACATTCTCCAGGTAATGAGTTCAATCCTGGTTTTCAATATATGGCTTTTATCAATATTGAACAATTGCAAGACTATACCAGAGCTCACAAGCACACTTACCTCGATATCAAGTTCTAACTACCACAAGAACTGAAAACCCCCTACATCAACACCTGAGTACACTAATTAACCATGAAATCCGCCATTGGCATATATAAATTTCACCCAAAACACCCAGCTTTCATTAAATTTCACCCAAAATGCAAATTCTCACGGCCGTGACATGACCCGTGAGAAGCAAAGAGTAGTTTTCATATCCCCAGACAATCTCACGGCTTTGGCTTCATAAATCACGGCCGTTAAAATAAGCCGTGAAACTAAAAACACCCACTAAACATTCTCACGGCTAATTCTTGAAATTTCACAGCCGTAACATCTTTTCATGAGATAAGCAAAACAGAAGAAAAGGTTTAATCATCTATTCACAGGCGATCTTACCAAGCAAAAGGACAAGGTTTGTCCCCGATCAAATCGTATAATCATCTCTTTTCAACTACAGTGACCAACTTGTTTCTATAAAACCAGTACAAACAAATATAGTTGGGTATTTCAAAGAAGAAGAGCTGCATATGCTCAAATCTGAGTTTCAAAATAATGGCAGTGATGCTTGTTGATGTATTCAGAACTACTATTTGTTTGCAATTATGGCTTTAGCTTATGGTTTTTCTCATTAGTCATTTTAGCTACCAGATTCATATCATATCTAAATCCAAGGCTAGTTCAAAAAACAGATTTCAGAGATTCTAATAAACAAACAAAAAGGTTTAACCTGGAAAATCAGACACCATGCCCCTGTTCTTTTCTTCTGTTTTGTTCTAAGGCTCCCTTCTACATCTAAATCCGCCCATGTTCTTTTGGAAAAAAATTAGAAACCACACACAACTTACAACTTTTGAGAGCTAAATAACATGACCACGAGCATAGCCACTAAGCTTTCCATAACCCATGACACCACCATAAACACTCGCTCTATTTCCATCCAAACTGGCTAAAACTCAAGTCACCCTGATTTCATGAACTAATTCTTGACTAACACACTCAATTGCACATTTCATGCAGCCAAGCAAGACCCTTCAATTAACAGTCCAAAATGTAATCAACAAACAACGGTAACTACACTACAATACCAACAAGACCAAATCAACTCTTCCAAAATTTTCTTTGCAGACTCAGTTTGAAGGCAAACAACAATCCAACTTGTCTCAAGCCAAACTGAAAAGAATCAAACTTTGAGTATGAACTTTCCTATTCGATTTGCCTCCATAAAACACAAATCAAGTCTCTCCAGTCAAAAAGTTAATACTGGCATGCATAAAGGAAGGAACACAATCGCTAGCTAGGTCAGATTGGAGCAACTTTTTTTGAGATCACGCATGGTTGGGAACAATAATACTGGAATGCAAGGTTCACTTGATGAATCACGCCAAAACCTATCACTTGATGAATCTCTAATAAGAAAAAGAATACTGGAATGCATAAAAGAATGAACTAATGATTAAGCATGAGGAGATGAAGTCCAAGGTTCACTTGATGAATCACGGCATAACCTATCAATTGCATCACAATCTTGCTCTAATAGTAAATTGAAGTACTAATCACATAAACGTAGACGGAGCCAGCATTCAAACGAAATAAAAAGCTCAAATGAATGCAAAGAATCACATAAGACTAATGCAAAGCTCATGCAAAGAATCATAGAAGACAAATGCTTCGATTACCCTTTTCTAGAATACATGCACACAACAAGCATACTACAAATAGTTGCTAGCTTAACCACAATGGGAACATGATTAGGACTCCTCTCCCAGCGCTCACAAAGACAAGATGAATCGCATGCTTGGAATGACGATTATGTAACTCAAAAAGGCAATAGCTCTCTCGACACGTGCAACTCACACCGGTTTTCCAAGTGAAATGGAGTTTCCATTTATGAAAAAGTAAACAAAAAAAGTTTCCAAAACTAATTTATGATATCATTTTCATGAGATAGCATTTAGCTATGGTGGAAAACCACATAAAGAACACATGATCTTTGCTTGGTTCATGCATGCTATTTCCTAGGCTCTTTCACCAAGTGTGAGTTTTCTTGGTGACAAGCATTTTCCTCTTTGGTACATGATTAAATTGTTCACTACCCAGCAAGGCAACCACAACCATGCACAACTCTCCCTTCAAGCTTCAATGTGTAAATCGACTCACAATGAACTTTAGTAGCAGGAAATCTATGGCTGTATGGTTAATGGAGGAGCAACCAGCAACCACATTACACCACGTTGCTTTGACAAAGACCTCTCTGCCCATATGAAAATAAGCTTTTTGGAATTGACAACATGTTCCTTCCCACTGGAGACACAGCCACACCAAGGAAAATAGACCAGCAGAAGTAGAACATGCTACTTATCATGACAAGTTTAGAATCAACCAACTCACCCCTAATTCTGTAAACAATAAGATGGTCTACAAGATGAACTACAATGCCTTTCAGAAGGATTTCGATCAACATCGACCTACATCTATGAGGTCCACAATTAAACCAATACCAGGACATCAACAAGCAGGTCCCATATGTGAATTGATAGTTTGCTTTGACACTAAATCAGTCAATATATAGCTAATTATCAAGCTAAACACAAAGAAGATAGTACAAGGACATCAACCTGGTAAAAGGACATGACCAATTAAACTCATAAACCTAAAACGAGCATGGAATTTCAATCCCCCTACCGAAATGTGTAAATCTAGAACATCCCAACATAATCCCTAAACTGATAGCCATAGTAACCGGAAAATTGAATAAAATTGTAGAACTGATAGGCATACTAACCGAAAAAAGTTGCGGTGGAGGAGGTAGGTCAGCGGTCTTCGTTTGCTATCGATGGGAAGAGGGGGTTCTGTGCAGGGTCTTCGTTTGCTATCGATGGGAAGAGGGGGTTCTGTGCAGAGTCTTCGTTTGCTATCGATGGGAAGAGGGTCTTCGTTTACAATCGAAGAAGAGATGCTCGCTCTCGTCGTCCCTTGCTCGCCTCCTTCACTGTCTTCGTCGGAATCCGGCTCGCCGCCTTCACTGTCGTTGTCGGAATCCGGAATCCGAATCGCTGCAATCGACAAGCTTCTTCTACTCGTCGTCACCCACTGCTCGCCGTCTTCACTGCTCGCTAGCTGCGTGGAGAGGATCGAAGGAAGAGGATCAAAGGAAGAATGGTTTCGGCGGTGAGAAGAATGGTTTCGACCGTGAGAAGAGATGTGAACCCAAATAATTTCAGACAACCGGTTGTACCGGTTATCCACACACAAATAAAATAATATATTAATAATTTAAATAAAATTTAATGGTTGATATAGTTTGAACATGATCTAATGGCTGTAAATATTTTATAGCACCAATACTATAAAGCACACTAAAATGCCTCATTTCATTTATTATTATTGATTATATTGTCATATATCTGTTTCATATGAGATTGATGGTGAGATACTTATCATATGATGAGGAACACCAATTGATGAATGGCTAGATAGTTGGCTAAAAAAGGATAATCGTTAAAGTATAATTGTCTCATCGTTAGCTCTACCGTGGGAACTATTAAGGTTTGGGATAGGATATTGCATTGAAATAGGGGCAAAAACCTTCATCGATAAACTAAACTACATGTGTTTTATTTGGGTTGCATATACATTAATTGGAAACTCTAGAGGAAGTAATACCTAATCAACACATTTTACTTCTTGCTTTTACTCGTGGTTAGTGTTAGCCTAGGGCTTATAATTTAGTGCTTTATTAGTAGGGATGGTAAAAATATCCGTAAACGTGGATATCCACCCGAATCCGACCTAATCGGGTAGGGTAAAACCCGAACCCGAAGCATTTTTCGTGGGTATGGGTAAAACCCGAACCCGAATATTGCGGGTAATGGGTGGGCATGGTTATCTCACTATCCAACCCGAACCCGCCCGATTATACACATGCATATGTATTTTGTCTAGAAATAATCATTATGTTTCTCTAGAATATTTTATATTTAGCATATAAATATAATATTTTCATGAAATTATGTTGTTTTAATTAATTTTCGTCATTCTAGTGAATTATTGTCGTACATTTCCTCTTATGTAAAGTGAGTATACATGTGAATGTTAACATATTGGTTGGAATTATAAGGAGAAATTATTACCCATGGATAACCGTGGATACCCGAAACCCGAATGAATATGGGCATGGTTTTTATTTTCTACCCGTTTCTCGTGTGGGTACGGGTATGGGTAAAACCCGAACTACATTGGATAGGGTAACGGATATGCACTATCCGCCCCCGACCCGACCCATTGCCATCCCTATTTATTAGTTGTTTAGTTTTGTGCTTTTTGGTTTTGCGATTGTGTTGTTTTCAAAAGCATTTTGAGACACCACAACCCCGATTGACTTCTAAAAACACAATTGGTTATTCAAAGTAGTGGTAGTCTTCATATATATCGAGTTAAAGTTGACTTATCATATGGTGAATCGTATCCATGTATCATTATCAAACATGCTTTTATAAGTGCAGTGTAACAAAATTCATTAGATGCATATATAACTTCCCACATATTGTCAAAAGTCATATATCCACTACATGAGAGTAAGTCTATTTACAGTTAATGTCAAGTATTTTTAAAAGATTCTTATAACAATTTGAGCATGATATCTCTTAATTTCTCCTCATTTGTCATGTCATCGTAAACCTACATGTATTTTTAATTGTTATACATCTAGATACGTGAGTATAGCTCTCATGACTTCTTACTGTGCAATCAAGTTCATATCATACCTACCTAAAATGCATTGTTACTATTTTCCCAACCACTTGTTCATAGTGATCAATAGTTTTAACTTCGTGATCCTTCTTGTTCATGTATGATATTGCATGCTACACTATATACAAGTTTACTATCAACGTTGACTTCCTTTAGATCTCATCGAATTTCATTCAAGATATAATTTATGTAAATATCTTTTATTTTTCCTAAAAGGGACCAATGTTACTATACTTGGAGATTCTCGTAGGGGTACAATATCCTCACCATAATACCATCTTTAACTCTCTATTTTTTTTTTTTGCTTCTCGAGGACTGTATTACTCTAGAATGATAGTTTCATCATAATACACGTGTATAAAATATATTTTGTTATTTATTATGCCTGCCAGGCCAGTAGGTTTTTTAAGCATTATAAATGAATTATTTTTGAAGATCATGTTCACATTCTAAGTGCAAGATCATAATTTAATTTAATAATGAGAGCATCCTTCTTTGTTCAAGATCATGAAGATCATGTTCACATTCTTGAGCGCACCATGGCATTTACAAAATTATATGTGGTTTTTGAGGGAATGGAACCCAGAATTTGACCTATTGAATGTCAATCTACCAATCTAGTTGGGGGTGACCTTGCATGATTTGCCGGCTGAGTATATGAATCTGCCTCCTGTGTGCAAGAAGTGTAATATGTTCGTTCTTCAGTAAGTAGAGGCTGATACTTATGAATTGAGGAAGTAAGGGGAAAGTGATGGAACTGGTGGGAAATGGGGCTCAAACAAGGCTTGAGTGTGTCCAGTCAAGCCCAATGAGGAATGTAGGAACAAGGAGTGATTTACTTGCAGAAGGTATTGTAATATTTAAGGAGTATGACGTATGCACTAAGATGATTGCTGAGACTTCTCTAGAATCAAATCTAGCTTGGAGGGACCAAGGCTAACTACTGCAGTAACTCGGGTAGGAAAGATGAGTGATAGCCTGGATAAGAGTGATCACTTTACAACACTGGCTTCTGATGATCAGTTTGAGTAAGTGAGATCACATTCTCTTCATTATAGAGTTTGAAGAATATCCAGAGTAGAAAGAGGTAAAGAGTAAAGAAGTAATGCAGGGTAAAAACTATTCAAAGTCGTCATTGGGCAAAATTTGGGAATTCTGAAAGTCGCATGTTTAGTTTTCAGTTCTAGATACATGTGATCAAGGATAATTGGACTGATTCATACATGGTTGTGTTACACTTGTGGAATTAAGTGTGATGATCACTTTTGTCTATGGGGCAAATGATGTAATGCCAATAAGTTATATGTAGAGGGAGATGCAACAAAATATAACCTGTATTGATCCATGGTTGGTTTTGGGCGATGTCAATACCATAAACAAGCAAGAAGAGTCTTCTATTCAAGTGGATATGGGGGGAAGCAATAGGACTTTTGGTGAATTGATAGAATATATGCAACTAGATGAGCATAGGACGATAGGTCCTTGGTTAACTTGGACTTGGACTAACAAACAATAAGGGCACCCTATTGCAAAACAAATTGATAGAGTACTATTAAATGTTCCCTGGTTCAGGTCTCAGCCTCGTCTCGGGCTATCGTACATGTACCCTCGTCCCAAAGTCCCAACAATCGTAAATAATATTCTCAGGTACGATGGCTGGAACTGCTCTTTACAAGCAACCGATTCTGGACTATGGAAATTTTTGGAATTTTCGATGATGGGTATTTCATTTATGATAGTAGAAGATGAGTTTTCTTCGTACTAGTCTCATGGTGTATTCCATATCCGGAAGGTAACTTGGAGGAGGGATGATTCGAGTATGAGGAAGAAGGAGAAGGCTTCGTAATATGGAAAATAGAAGAATGACAATTGCTTTTGGGTAGGTCACATACTCAATGATGAATTTGTCTAATTCTTTATTCGATATTTACAAAGTTCTAGACAAATTTGAATTTGTCTAGTGCTTTGATGGTGTGCTTTTCTCTAAGTGGTTTATGTTAAACCAAAGAGATAAAAGTGTATATACAATGTTTGATGATTTTGGCAATAGCTCGAGTTATCATATGTTTGTATGTAGATGCCATACTTTTCATTGGGACCAATCAAAGATAAGTCGACTTTGCGAAAAATAGGTTGTTGTCAATTTGTCATCTAAGTTCTCCATGTAGGACATGTGGGAGGCAAATGTGATTTTGTGTATTGAATCAAGCGTAATGAAAAAGAAGATTCCTTCTCTCAATTTTTCTGCGTGAGAAGGTACTTGCTAAATTCCATATAGGAATTCTTGTGAGTAAAGACCCCAATGGATCCACGTTTGAAACTAATGGTTAATACTGGTCAACTAGTTTTACAACTAGAGTATTCCATGTTAAATTGGTTGTTTGATGTATGCAATGACTTGCACAAAACCATATATCGAGTTGTGGTATGAGCATTAAGTAAGTGTTTGAGTAATCCTAGTGCTCATCATTTGACATGAAATGAGGTGTGTACCAGGATATCTAAAAGGCACATCGTATTGACTTATAGTAGAAGGATTTATTGATGTTAGTTTGATTTCTCATGTTAAAGGTGATACTTCAACATCGGGATGAGCCCTCTTGCATGGGGGAGGTGCCATATCTTGGGCCTCTAAAGAGCAAACTTAGATAAATGGTTTCACTATGGAGTTGTGTGGTGGTTGAGAGATTTGGTTTATGATATTCTTTCATGGCCTAAACAATTCTCATTTTATTACTATCTTTTTGTAGTAATGGTAATTTGTCTAAGGCATATAGCCAAGTGTAAAATGAAAAGTATGGTCTTGTAGGAGTTATGCATGGTAATATCTATGAATTTATTTGTGTATGTACAAATATGACCGGACTAGGAATAATTAGTTCATCATTTGACAAAATGGTTAACTAGTCACTTGGTGATCAAGTATGTGAAAGGGATGGGGTTTAAAGTCCATATAATTTCTGATCATGGGATACCCAGTTCCCCTCTAATTCAACGTTAGATGCTAAATTCAATGTGGAAAGCTTATTATCGGAAATTGAAGCACACAATTTGTCATCTCGAGGTATGTGCTTGTTATCCTGAATGAGATAACCCAAGGTGATTGACCCCGCGGTGTTCGGAGTGATCCCAAGTTGACCCAGGGTGATTGACCTTGGGTGGCCGGATTGATCCCGGGGTGGGCTACGTGACCCAAGGTATTTGACCCTGGGTCGGAGTGACCCCAAGGTAAACCAAGGTGATTGACACCGGGTGGCCGGAGTGATCCCGGGGTGGGCTAGGTGACCCAAGGTATTTGACCCCAGGGTGGCCGGAGTGACCCCAAGGTGTCCCAAGGTGATTCACCCCGGGGTGGCTGGAGTGACCCCAAGGTAGGTGATCCCGGGTGGTTGGAGTGACCCCGGGGTGGGGTAGGTGGCCCGAGGTAATTGACCCCGGGGTGGTTGGAGTGACCCCAAGGTGACCCCGGGTGACCGGAGTG